ACCCACACCCACACCCACACCCACACCCACACGCACACGCACACGCACACGCACACGCACACGCACACGCACACGCACACGCACACGCACACGCACACGCACACGCACACGCACACCCACACCCACGCACACCCACACCCACACCCACACCCACACCCACACCCACACCCACACACGCACACGCACACGCACACGCACACGCACACGCACACGCACACGCACACGCACACGCACACGCACACGCACACACGCACACGCACACGCACACGCACACGCACACGCACACGCACACGCACACGCACACGCACGCACACGCACACGCACACGCACACGCACACGCACACGCACACGCACACGCACACGCACACGCACACACACACACACACACACACACACACACACACACACACACACACACACACACACACACACACACACACACACACACACACACACACACACACACACACACACACACACACACACACACACACACACACACACACACACACACACACACACACACACACACACACACACACACACACACACACACACACACACAGAGTGGACGGACGGACGGACGGACGGACGGATGGATGGATGGATTGAATGGACACACACACCCACAGCCACACCCACAGCCACAGCCACAGCCACAGCCACAGCCGCCCGCCCACGCATTTATCTGGAGCACTTTCTATCTTCCGCCCAGGCGGTGCGAGGGCCACTTGCTCTGACCTACGAGCTCTACCCCTTACAGCCGGAGTTTGGAGGGCCACAGCCTCAAACGACCGGGGCGGGGCTGGTCGAGGTTTGGCCTGGGGTTGTGTGTCGTGGGGGTTGGGTTGCAGGGGTTGTTTTGCGAGTAACACGAAAAAATCACCCAGATCACCACAGGACTGCGTCAAAGAAAATTAAGCTATGCGACGAAATGAAGCATTCATTTGTTCATCACATCAACAACAAAGCAGTTGCAGAGGATTTGCAGGGTTGGGGCTAGGGTTGTAATGGGCTTGAGGGCGTGTAGCCAGCTTGGATCCGCAGTCCCACCGAAGTTGCACCCGAGTATACAGCCACCAAGGCAAGCACGATCCCCCCAAGATCCCCCAGGTGGTGTTCTGAAATAGGCACCCCTTAATGGAGTCCACTCGAAGTTAGTGCTGCAGCGCGCGGTTTCCATCCGGGCACGCGTTTTGCATTGCAGATACAAATAATCCGAGGATAGCACGCGGTGCGTCTCTGGGTGGCTTAGCATGAAGGCACACATCGCCGAAATTGATCGTCGTTAAAATTTCAGTTTGTAGTTTAGCTGTAGAAATCCCCAGACACAATGTTTTATTTGGATGTTGACGAAACATGAAGCAGAATCTGAATATGGGTGTGTGCTTTTTTTGGAGCTGGTACCCCCTTTTTGCGGGCTTTCAAGGAACACCAACAGTTAAAATCGACACCTTTTGTTAGGGGGGCTAAAAAACGACACCGACACCCATACATTGTTGCAGGTGTACCCTGTGATATTTTTCGGGTCGGCACTCGAATCGGGACATCGGGGACTCGGCGAGGCGAACACCTTTGCCGCCGGATGGCACGCTGCGCTCCATGATCCTGGAGGATGGGTTTGGGGCGCTCGTGGCCTCCCTTGTGCGTGTATTTTCGTTGGAGTGGTGTATCAACCAGTATTCAGCTTGCCATCAATTGGTAGTTTGGATTTGGGGAGTTGAACCCCGGGTTCTTGTAGAGGGTCGATCCCTCCAAACCACCAATCAAAACCACCAATCCAAACCACCAAACAAGGGACGCCGAGGCATTTATAGATCCCAACAGATCTTGTCCATCCACAGTATGTGTGTGTGTGTCGTGGGAAACCAGCACGACCCGTTCAAAGGTCCCTTTGACACATGGGAAGTTGTTTGGCTTCCCTTTGGTTTCCCTTCAGGCGGGCCAAAGCCCAAAGGGCTACCGGGAGTTCCATGAACGAATCTCCACACTTGAGCCATCTTGAGCCAAAGAGCTTGAGCATGGGGCATCGTGTCCTGCAACAAACCTGAACCTGGACAATGGACTTAGTTCAGGCCAATCTGGACGTTCTCGGCATTTGCACAGTTTTACCACGGATCCGTTGTGGTTTCTGCGCAATGGCCAAAAACTACCAGAACGCCTGGATTTGACTGAAATTGTGTTTTTTGAAACCGTGAAGCACCTGTGTAAAATTGAAAAGCCAAGGACGGCATGAGGCACAAAGCCGATCAGGTTACGGGACAGGCTGCTACAGCTGAAATGCCGTCCATGACGGACAAGAAATGTAGTCGGGCGTGCAGGGGTGGCCCTGCCAAGAAGCACACTGCCACAGATGTGGGGTGGGGTCGTGAGTCGCGAAATATCAAATTTTGCCCGCCCAGATCCGCCCGCAAACTGGCCGCGAAAAACGCGCAAAAGCCCCCACACAAGAGCAAGTCAGCAAATCGTTCCTCTGGATAATTGGAAATGTGCCTCGGAAGGGCCTCACGTACATGCTGAGCGTTCTCAGAATTGAATCCTGTAATGGGCAGGCACGTGCATTGCTGAGCTTGCCGGATCGTGTGCGCGTCTAGAATGAAACTAAACGCCCTATTGGTGGATGCTGCAAATGGCCGGGCAGAGTGGCATACCTCCAAACGAGCGCCTTGAGTGGGACGAGGGCTTGCAGAGCACGTAGTGGGTCGTGTTTGCCCTTTGCAACGCCCACTTCGGCAGCAAGGCGTGCCTCTTCGCGTGGGCTGTAGGGAGCCTGCAGGACGTTGGCCGCGCTGCTGGTTTTCGGGCCGTTCGCTGTATGCGGGCCACGCGGTGATGTTGAGGGGTGGTGGTCAGTGAACGAGGTCTGGGCCGCAAGTTTGGCGCTACCTGGGCAGTGCTTGTCAGGCAACATTTGCCGCAAAAGACAGTCGCCGCAATCTGCCTCCGGGGGCCAGGGCGTGCTGCGCACGCACCTTCCTTCCTTCCTGCCTTCCGTCCTTCCTTTTTTTCTCCCCTTGCGCTACAAGCCAAAGACCCCCACTTGGCAAACCAGTAGGCAGGGAAAGGTATGAGACTGCGTCTAAAGGGGCCCTTCGAGGCGGCTGGCTTATGCTTCCCATCCAAGAGCTGCTTTCCATTTCCAACTTCCAGAAACATCAGCATCTGTTTGCCTTGCCTTCCTCAGGCCTTCTTAACTCCTTGAAAAGCGGGTCAGAACCAAGAATCATGAGTTTCATGTTGGCCCCGAGAAACATGAAAAGCCTGGTTGCGGCAAGAGAAGCGAGCTTCGTAAAAGCCCGTATGTCAATGGAATCTCTGAAAGGAATCTTTTCCGTCCGCAACAATGTTTTTGGGGCAACCTGTTTAGTAGCTTTAGGCTTAGATCCAAAGCTGGGTGTGGTCGGCTTTGCGACCCCCCGCGCTTCAGGCGCTGAAGGGTGGCCCGTGCGGGGCCCCGGGCGATACCAAGCCGCCAATTGAGTCAAGGCCGGAGGCTAGAAAGGGACAATCCCAGCCAGAAGGCCGGTCAAACCGTTTTGGGATCCCATTTTGGGGTAGGTGAATTCACCACCCATTTTAGAACAAGTTTTTTAGTGGGGATTGGGATGTTTACTGGGGGTACGGGGTTTTGACCCATTGCCAAAAGGGCGCGGCCGCCTCTTGAAGTCTTTCCATGGCTCTGGGTGGACCACTTGAATACCGATCACTTTTAAGTTTTGGACTGTGACTCAATTGAGCCCTGAATTGGCCACAGGCCCTTTAAGCAATGTGAATGCGAGGTGTGGACCGCTTGGATGGCTTTTCTGTCCAATTCTGTCGGTTCAGCGTGCAACAGGAATCCTGAGGCTACTCAACGTGGTCATACGAGTTTGAAAGCTAATATGCGAAGGATCTGGAATAGACCATGGTTCAAAGCCATGTGCTTGTCAATTGTTTTTTTAGGCGTGGAGTGTATGAAGTTCGTCTGACTTTGCAGGGCAAGCCCCAGGGATTTGCCGGGATTTGCTGCCGGTTTTTGGAGGAGTTGCTTTGAGTGTGCCGAGAAATGGTTCAGACACCCAGCCAGCAGAAAGTGGGGGCCTTTGGTTTCATTCCTTCGACTTCTATCAAGCTGACAGATTTCGGTGTGTTCTTTTTTTGATGGTACACATGTGTGGGATTGTTTTGAGTGGAAAAAAAGGATCACCCAATTTTGGTGGCCGAGCGATTTGGCAAAAACGTATTCGGTTTGTTCCCCCCAAAAAAAAACACATAAACATAATATGCTCAGTTGATATCCCCAACATGATGCGGTGCTCTTTTTAGTGCTCGCACCTGGTGCAACCCTGGTGGAACCCTCGTGGAACCTTACCTCAGGGCCGCGGACCACCCCGGAGCCTATCTGGGCTGAGACCCCAAAGCTTTCAGCTGTTGGGGAAAAAAGAAGGAAAGCTTCACTCATTTCTACTTAAAGAGGCATCGTACTTAGTGAGTGGGTAATAATCATGGTGAGGAGACCTATTACCACGGCTTTGGTAGGTTTCTATCCAGGCTTACTATACACTTATCTGACGTACCCGATCGCCCCTTTAAGTTCTAAGGGTTTTTGTATTACACCTTGGGAATACACCCACTGGGTATTGACCCAATCTCCGGGCACATTTCCGGATAAAGCCGTGTTAGTTCGAACCATTCTCGTTTCCCAAGGGTATAATCCCAGGGTGTAATACAAAAACCCGGCAAGCCACTGCTTCCCTTCCGAGCCACGCATCGTGTATCCAGCTGTGCAGGCACGTGGCCGGCTCGAAGTATGACGGAGCCAAGTCGGACAGCCACTCGGACCCGTGAAAAGCCTTCCAGGGGGTTGGCGAAATTCAGACGTACATGTCTATGACCAGTCCTTGATAAAATGCAGGAACGGTGGTAAAACGATTTCATCCAAAATCATTCTTGGTATGTTCGTCTAATAAAAACAATTGCGCGCTGAAACCATCCACCACCCTCATCTAGTGGGTTTGGAGATGGCCAAGTGCCGCTAAAAGGTGGCCAAAGCCTTTGGGGGCTCTGAAGCTGAAGAGGGAAATCGGATTATTTTTGAAAGTGCTTGGCCATAATTCCTGGCGTGAATGATGTCTATTTTCCCAAGCAAACCTGGTTGATTCAATGAAGCTTCACACCCATACCTGAACTGAGAAGTGATTTGATTTGCCCCATTTTTCAAAAATGGTTTGATCCCCCCTTTTGGTTTGTCCGATGCGTCCAAAAGACAAGTTTCGGGCCGAGCGAGGCGAGTTCGAGCTGCCGCAGAACGTGAGACTTGCGGCGGGGACGACATGCCATGGGCCCCCGCAGGGTTGTTGGCTTCGAAAGGGGTCCCTGAGTCAAGCATATATTTTTGTCCATTTGGAGAAAGGCACCGCTTGTGTCAAGACGAACGTCTTTGTCTACCCCCCTCCAAAGAAAAGTGCCAACTCGAAAGGTCGGGCACGCCCTTCAGAAGCCAGCTGCCGAAGATTGCCGAAGCCTCTGTGACAGTGCAAGTGAAACAAAGTAACCCCTGGTTGGTGTTGAGTAGGGGTTTCCTTTTAAACCCCAAACTCAAAGGGTTTGGTTTCAGAAACATCTACAAGAAATGGCAGAACACCCTAATTATTTGTTTCCTTGACTGTTATTGGGTGTGTTCTTTAGACTTGAACTTTTTGGGAAATAATTATGTGTTTTCCACTAAACCCCCAAAAGTGCAATATTTTTGTGCAGGGGGGTCGTTGCAGCAACCAAGTTTCCCCTCGAGTTTCCACCCCAAACCCTTGCTGTCTGCATTGGGCCAGGTGGGCGACACCTACTTCAGCGCCAAGCTCATGGCCCGCTTGGCCGGGACATCCGGGCCCCCCCGTACCCATCCGGGCCCGGTGGGTAGGAAATTCCAAAGGCAGGAATGAAACCTGATTTGCATACATGGGTCAAAAATAGGTACCCCGAATGGCCCCTGGTAAGTGGAAACATGGACCAAAACTTGCGGTCCGATTCCTGGTGGTCTAATTTTGACCCATACCCATATTGGGATCAAGCCACCTGGTGCCAAGTGGATTTTTGCCAAAAGCAGTATGTGGCTTATTCGTTTTTGGTGGTTCAAACGCCCCAAAAGGGCCCAGGTAAGGTGACTTGATGTGGGGTTCCTTTGGTACGGGGGGGATGTGTTACGGGAAAATTCGGTGCGATTCCGTGGTGCCGTGGATGGGCAACAGACACTTCCCACCAGTTGGTGGCCGTTTGTCCCATGGTCCATTTATCCATCTCGACTCACGCAGGGTGCTGTCCATCCACTGGATTTGTCCTTTTTGGCGGTAAGGATGTTTTGTCTTGGGGTTTTCTGGAAGGCGGGTTTCCTTTGGCGCACTTTCAAGGGGAAATGTAGGGAACACTGTTGCCTGAAACATACCCACTCGGAAAGGACAGGAAAGGCTTCTGTTTAGCTCTTTTTTTTTGTCTCTGAGTGTTGGGTTGATAATACCCAACCCCCCCACCCACACCCCAACCCCAATCCCCCAATCCCCCCCAATCCCCTCCCCGCCCCCAAGCCCAACCCCAACCCACACCACCCCCCAACTCCAACCCCCCCTCTGTTTTTGTAGTGGGTTTAATCCTTGCGTCGAATTTTTGTTGGGCGAGTTCCCCGGACTTCCCTTGAGCTCGAAGCATAGGCCCGGCTCATCGCCATCGCCGCCGAGTTAGAGCAGCAGGACGAGGCGCGGAAAGACTGGGGAGGGGGCGGGGTTTGAAAGGTTGGCTAAAAGGGTTGGTTCAAGGGTTGGTGGGTTGGTGGGTTGGTTGGTGGGTTGGTGGGTTGGTGGGTTGGTGGGTTGGTGGGTTGGTGGGTTGGTGGGTTGGTGGGTTGGTGGGTTGGTTGGTTGGTTGGTTGGTTGGTTGGTTGGTTGGTTGGCTGGCTGGCTGGCTGGCTGGTTGGTTGGTTGGTTGGTTGGTTGGTTGGTTGGTTGGTTGGCTTGCGCGTGGGTTGGTTGGTTGGCTGGCTGGCTGGTGGGTCGGTTGGTTGGTTGGTTGGTTGGTTGGCTGGCTGGCTGGCTGGCTGGCTGGCTGGCTGGTGGGTCGGTTGGTGGGTCGGTTGGTGGGTCGGTTGGTCGGTCGGTCGGTCGGTCGGTTGGTTGGTTGGTTGGTTGGTTGGTTGGCTGGCGCGTGGGTTGGTTGGTTGGTTGGCTGGCTGGCTGGCGGGTCGGCTGGTTGGTTGGTTGGTTGGTTGGCTGGCTGGCTGGCTGGCTGGCTGGCTGGCTGGCTGGCTGGCTGGCTGGCTGGCTGGCTGGCTGGCTGGCTGGCTGGCTGGCTGGCTGGCTGGTGGGTCGGTTGGTGGGTCGGTTGGTCGGTCGGTCGGTCGGTCGGTCGGTCGGTTGGTTGGTGTTGTTTTTTCTGGCTGGTTCGTTCGTTCATCCGTTCGTTTGTTCAAAGGTTGGTGTCTGGAACGTGTATCGGTCGGTCGGTCGGTCGGTCGGTTAGTTGGTAGTTTGGTTGGTAGTTTGGTTAGTTAGTTCTCAGCTGGTTGGTTGGCTGGTTGGCTCGTTGGTTGGCTGGTTGGTGGGTGGGTGGGTGAGTGGGTGGTTGGGTTGATTGATTGGTAGTTGGTGGCTTCGTGGTATGGTGGATGCAAAAGGGGCTATGATTTGAGATTTAGTGGAAATTTGTTATAGAAATTGTCGCTTGCCAAGGTTTGGCATTGTTTAAACATCCACGTGGTTCCCCTGAACCCAGGAGAAAGAGCATCGCAGGGCTCCAGAAAACCCCGACCTTGCCAATGTGCCCGTTGAACCCCCGCTTTCGGTTCAGTTTCGAGGCCTTCTTCGACAAGATGCTGTCACAATTGTCTGACACCTTGGAGAAGTGGCTGGACAAAGGCATCTCCCCCGCATTCGGGAGAGATTTGGCTGTGGGTCAAAACCAACGGGATCCCATTTTGGAATACAAACAACAACAGTTGTTCAAATCAACATGCAAGCAGGAGGATTCTGGCGGTTGTTTTCCAGACAAGGCTCCAACCAGGGACCGTTGGTGTGGCATGAGAGTTGCTCGAGGTTGATTCGATGCTTAGCTGCTTGAATTTGTGTCACTGGGAAGGTATGGATTTCCAGTAGTTGATGTGAAGTTTTAGAGAGAGAGAGATAGTCTTGTAGGTGATGCCACCCAGGTAGATGTACATTATACATCTTGGCTGGTATTCAGCCCCAAGTCACAGTCCATGTCGAGTTGATGTAGTTTTCGCCAGATCAGAGACGCATCCCTTGGGATGATCACTAGTCAAACCAGCCGATCGACAACACCTGCGAGTCGCGAGGTGCAGCTACGCCCTTCATCTACGACAAGTCCTGGGGAGGCAGGCGGCTTGGATGGCCCAAAGTTTTGTTTTTCTTTCTCTCCATGTGGCCGTGGTTGTCAACACCAATAAAATCCCATTTTGGGGTAGGTGAATTCACCACCCATTTTGGAACCTATTTTAGTGGGGAGTGGGATGTTCACTGGGGGTACGGGGTTTTGACCCATAGCCATGTGTGTGTGTGTGTGCGTTGTTTTTGTTTGTTCTATGGGGGGGTCAAATCCCTAGCAGCCATGCCATGAGACCCTTGCGGACTTTCAGTTTCTGATGAGAGTGCAATCAATCTACCACTCTGGTACTACAGAAAGTATTTTCCCCTACAATCATCCAAAACAAAGGCAGCTTTCATTCAGGAGGTCCGTGCCACACGCCATCCAAGTTGGCCACTCACTTTGGTGCTTCCCCCCCACCATGCACTTGCGAAGGAACCTCTTGTTCATGTAGTTCATAGCCATGGCAAGCGGACCCATTGCAGCCAGATACGCCAGATAGGGACATAAACTTTTGGATCTTCTTTTGTTGTATAGATTCATTGCATGGCTAATATGGAATCCAAGGGGCAAAAGCCAAGCTTAAATTCAGGGCCTTGACCTTTCCAAGGCTAGGACACTGAATCGGTATTTCGGTATGTCCCTTTTAAGGTTGGACCCCAAGATGGTTTCCTTTTGGCTTCCCTTTAAACCGCTAAACCGATTTTATCCAGTCTATATACCAAGTCGAAGCCAGCACAAATCAACGATCTTGGTCCACTTCCCAGGGATTGACTGTGGTTTCCCTTGCGAACATGGAGTCGTTCAACCGTAAAGAAGGGGGTATTGCGCAACTGGCCAAAGAGCACTTCCCCGTGCAGGCCGCTTTAGAAGCCCTCCGGATCATTATTTTTGGGGTTGACGCAATTGCTGGTTGTCCCCGTGTTTTCCCTTTTGAACAACCCGAGAAAGGGTAAGACTCGTGAGCAACAATTTGGCATTTGAGCCAAGAACGGGTTCTTGTGGGTAAATAGGACACCGACCAACGGCCCTATTTCCTGGCAGTACTGGGTCCCAACCTATCAACCCCAGTGCTGTTCTGCCGGTTGGGATCCTTGAAGCCTGAAAAAGGGCGCAGACAGCCACGGTTGACCCTTCCCTTTCATTGGGGGTGTCCCTTCAAAGTCAACCGAGAAACACGAGTTCCACTTTTTGCCCATACTCCACCTGTAAGACTCACTTGACCAAGGCGAATCCACCTTTTGACCTTTCCCTTGGGTTCCCAATTTGGGTGGCCCAAGAAATCATGCACCTTTTGTTTCTGGGTACGATTTGAGATATGATTTGAGATTATATGCGAGCTTTGCCACTTGGTGGTTCCCAGCCTCAGTTTTTTAGTTGTTTGTCGTTGGTTTCGTGGTTGGATTCCGAGTTTAACCCACAAGTCCGTCACTTTTAGCTCAGAAAACGGAGAGCCAGGAGTCACATCAAACCAGCAAGTTGCACAGTTGCACAGCCCCCATCCCCCCCCTGGATCCCTGGATGGAGGCCTGGTCTCCTGCGGGTGCAAGTACGATGACTGCTGGGGCGGCTGCGCCCCGAAGCGCCTCGACCGTGTCAAATGGGTCTGGGTCAAAATTAAGCCGGCAATCGGGCCGCAGGTTTTAGGCCATGTTTCCATTTACCAGGGCAAGCCATTTTGGGGTTACCCTATTTTTCACCCACAAATTGCCACCTTCGAGTCGGAGCTTCCTACCCAGCTCCTGGGGCTTTCAACGGACCCGACCTCTCCATCCCGGCTTCGGTGGTTGGGGGTCTCAAAACCAGGTTCTTTAAGGCCCCTACTTCAATCGGGATCCCTGGAAGGATGATTCCCCTGTAAATACCAACGAACAATAGTTGCCCATGGTTTCCAAGTGGTGCAAGGTTGACAAAGAAGATGTTGAACGGATCTGAAAGACTAGGGACGCAGCCAAAGAGTGAAGCGTACTGCACGGATCAATGGTATGAGGCTTTTGTAGGTAGGTGAAACGTTGCACAGGCTCAACCTTTGTGAGTTGCGGGTAGATTTGGATTGGCAAGTTTGCATTAGATGCTGAACTTGTGAACCCGCAGCGAATGCACAAGGAGGTCCATGTGCAACCCTGTTCCTTGCAACTAATGGGGAGTGACCCTTCTCAAGTTGACGCTTGCACGGAAAGAGCACATGGTGGGAGATGCGGTTGTGGCTTTAAGGAACTTGCGAACAAATCAGGGGCACTCGTGATGAGGATGAGAATCAACCACTTCGGTATCACGGAAAGGCTTTTCTGCAAACATAACTGGTGCCAAAGCCAGTTGCCTGTTTGAACATGGTAAAACCAAAGGTGTGTAAGCGCGTTCATTGAGGTCTGCCTCGTAAAGGGACTGGGCACGTTTCTTGAAGCCACTGAGGGCTTTACAGAGATGTTGGGCAAAGCTCAACACCTTGAGTTTCCATTCCCTCAGCCAACAGAGGAGGGTGAGCTGGAGTTCCTTTCGAGCTCATGTCTCCCCGTTTGAGTGGTGACATCGCCCTGTTTGGACATGGCGCTGGAGATTCGGGGGACCGGCGGAGCGGCTCCGGTGAGGTGCGTGAACGACGTCTCGCAGCCGGCCACCTGCCCCGCGCTGCATGATGTAGGCGGATTGACCGAGAGCGGCGGGGGGCTGATCCAAGCGCCGGTTGCCTCTAAATTTAGTTCCATTTATATATTGGAATGATTTGAGTTGTTGTTCTTTCCGTTTTGGTTTTAAAGGGAACCTATCACTACTGGCAATATTGTGCTATTTCGGACAGCACGGGAGAGGGACCCAGCATGATCTGACTGTACTTTATTCTGAGCAGCTTGGTGTTTGACATGATCAGTGCGAAGAAGGAGGAGTATAATTTTAGTTGGGGCCACCAAGTTGGGAATGCTAACTTTGAGGTGGTCTTTTTTTGTGGGTTTGTGCAGGGGGTTTGCAGGATACGCTTCCACATTGTGCAGGGCCCCTTCCACTTCCGCCGTGTCCGGGTATTTCGGGCACAAGATACGGAATGTGGTTGTATACACCAGTTTGCTCGGCACAGAAGGCTTTGTATATTGGCACAGAGGCAAGCACGCCAACACAAAGACATAATGACACAAAGACGAGCAGGCAGACACACAGACAAACATACAACTAGACAACCGGACAGACAGACACAAACCCAGCGGCAACTATGCAAGAAGTGGCAACTATGCAAGAAGTCAGAACATGACCACGCCGAGCCACACAGACACACACAGACACACCAACAGAGGAGATACAGAGAGACAGCGACACAGAGACAGAGACACGTACAGACACAAGAGACGCGGAGGCATGGACAGACACAGTGACAGGGACAGAAACAGACACAGAGGCCCACAGACGCATAGACAAACAGGCACGCAGACACACATTACACGCAGCGACGCACTGACGCAGACACAGAGACACAGACACAGAGGCAGACATACAAACAGACACAGGGACGACTGGAGTAGACCCACCGGCGCAAAGTTGCAAGGACAACACACGCAAACAAGCACCAAGACACAGCAGAGACACAGACACAAGGACACAGTGAAACGCGCGCACACACACAGAGCCACGGGAGACTACTCCTTCATTTCTTTCCCACACATTGTCACCAAGAGCCCGGGTCGAAGACAACCCACTTTGCCCACCAAAAGCCAAATACTGATTCGGACTATATACTCGTCATCAATAGTCACTCAAAGTCACTTGTGGTCACTGGAACTGACTGGGTTGCTTCGGCTTCCCTTGCTGCTCCGACATGACTGACACTCGCAGATGAGTTGATGAGTCCATGTGAGGCTACAACTTCGGCAACGGCTTCTACAACGACCACCACTTTCATTATGGATATTTCATCTACTCAGTCGCTGCTGCCGCCTTAGCCGCCCTCTGGGACAGAGACCGAATCATTATGGGACTAACCTCCATACATCCAATTCAAACCACAAATTGGGGGCCCGGCATGCGAATTAAGGGCGTACTTTTGAGCAACTCAACTCAACGGAGCTTCTGGGAAACAATCGCCATATATGGCCATGGGTGAAAATCCCGTACCCCCAGTGAACATCCCGGTCCCCGCTAAAATGGACTAGAATGGGATGGGTGGTGCACCTACCCCAAAATGGTACCATCGGTTTTGACCCACAGCCATGTATGATCACATGGGATTGTCTCCAAACAGGGGGAAGCCTTTTTGTTTCGCTTTAAAGGGACACCGGAAACTAACCAGCTCAAGGGGGTCCCCAATTTGGAGAAACACCCATTTTTACATTCCTGTGCCATTGTGGCGTGCGAATCACTTGCACCCTTTTTAAGCATCCTTTTCCCTGACTACCACTTCTGTGAGCTTTCTTGACATGTTAATGCTTCAGGTTCACTAAACTTGAACGAGAACTAACAAACTTATTCTGGTTTGGGAGCAAACGCTGAGGCAGATCTATCACTATGCCCTTCATCCATAGTTCCAGTTCCCAACTAGAAACCGCCCTAGTGGAGTGAGAGTGTCCTTCGGCCCAGTTGTCCGGCGCTTCCATGATCAGAGCTGGTCCAAAGAGCGCATGTCCGATTTGAACACAGCCTATAAACCTGACTTAGGTAGAATAATATTCAAGAAGCCCAGTTTCAGGTTGAAGCCGAAGCGCAGGTAAATCGCTAAGGCTGACCATTTTGTTTTGTTGTTTTTTTTGGGGCGCTGTGGTCATGGGCACCATTTGTTTTTTGTAAGCTGTGTTTGTTACAGCCACCTTCTCCAGGGTATCAGTCTTGGGGATGTGTTCAGACACAGACCCTTGAAACAAACCGGTGGTTGTTGATCATCTGACCCTACCCCCTACTCCAGATACCCATTTTTTCTAGGGTATTTTTTGAACAACCTGGGTTTCCATGGTAAATACCTCCATTTGTAGTAGGCTACGTGCGGATATTTTACGCTGGGTTATTTTGCACCCGCCCTCGCCCACCCGCGCTCTCTTTTTGCTAGTCCTCGGCAACACATGTTACTTTGAATGTTGAAGTTGCCACAGAACATCTCCTTGGATGTGACGGGCAGTATCTCTGGCATCTTTGGGAAGATCTTTCATCTCACCTTCGAATCGTTCAGCGTGCCAGCAAGCACATTGCTTGTGGCTGTTGTCAGCCCACCAATTACTACATCGTAACATAATCAGGCCTGCACTTTTTCCTGAAACGTGACAGACAGGCTTTCTAGCAACTCGGCAACAGGGACTTCTTCGCCATTGTGTGGGTTTCAACACTTCGTCAGAGCAATTGCACCTGCTGCAAACGATTGCAAAAGTCACGCCCTCCCACCCCCCCCCCCCCAACAAAAGAAGGGACCCTAGCAGTTTGACTGGTAAAACACAGAGATTTGTGAACACATGCACCGAAACCACAAACTGACAATGTTGATTTGCGTGGGAAAACACAGCAAAAAGACTCCTAACGCGACAAAACATGTGGGAAAACACAAAACTTCCAACTGCACAACATGTTGAACATGCAGAATAATACAGCGTAAAATAGCTACCCGCTCTCTTTTAGTAGAGGGCCGACATCATACCCTGAAAAGTGGGTATTGGGTGTAGGGGGTAGGTATCCATCACCCGGGGGGGGGGGGGGTTTGGCGACGGGATGACTGCGGCGACTGAGGTCTTGGCCAAATTCCGGCCGGAGTGGGAGAAGACGTGGCGCCCGCAGGTGCTAGCGCTGATCAGGCGAAAGTCGAAGAATCGGAAGAGCTGGTTGGGTTTGGCTGGGTTTGGTGGGCTTGGTTGGGTTGGTTGGCTTGGAATTCTTTGGTCTTGTTTGGTTTTGTTTGGTCTTGTTTGGTATTGTTTTTTGGTTTGGTGGCTTGGTCGGTAATATGCCATTTGCTCGAAATCTAGCACATAAGCTAACCACATTTAACCACAAACCCGTGACAAATGACTCACTCCCTGAGTTCCTGAACTCTATACTAAAACTTTAGTGGTGAATAGAAGGTTCATGCTTTTGTTGGGCCAATCCACTCAATCAGACGTGAGATGAGGAGAATTAGGGGCAAATTCGTGAGTTTCTTCGTTCCCTTACCCGCATCATTGACTATATGTCTATTTTGGCTGGATCTTTGGACTTCAGCTTGTCGGGAAACAGCTCGGATTTTCGAGTGGGCCCGCAAAAAGTTAGATACCCCTCCTCCCACTAACACAGCATTTGTGGGAGGGTACCTGGAAACTCAATTTCCTCAAGGGACCCTCTGTCAGGTGCCACAGCAACGTGGGAGGGGTCGTTACACCAAGCCTGGCAGGGACTACGCCAATCCATCGAGTCAAGACATGGAGTTCCCCATTTGCCGGCACAAGGCCGGAACGGAACGGGGGCCCGTCGCGTCCGGAGGCGTTTTCTCGCAAACACTGGGGGTCCTCTTTGACGACTGCAAGACGAGTTGCCCCAAACATGTCATGTAGACATCACCCCACTCAAAGGAAGCCACAACAAGAACTGACAGAAAGGTGATCCTGTAACCTACTGTGGATGGTTGCGAAATCCCGAAATCCAGAAAGCGCACCACGAAGTAAAACCACGGTTGAACGCCACGATTTGTTGGCGGTTACAGGGGAATGATCAGAAACCAGGGTTTTTCTAGGGTGGTGCAGGATTTCGTTCCTCCACAGTATCTTTTCCTTTTTGTTGGTTTTTGAGCATCAACCTTGTGGCCCATAGGTGAGTCAGCGATGCTTGGAGTGAAAATATGGGACGCCCGGGATGCTGGGGTATACCGCGCAGTTTAACTTGGAAATCATTGTGAGAGGAGTCCCCATTGGGGGGGGGGCTCTTTTTGTGATTTTATTAGAGTTCCAACTGGGGTGTCCTAACTGGATTCAATTAAAGGTTGTTCTTGGACATGATTTTGGGGGTGGAATTCATGTTTGCATCCATTCAAGTAATCTAAGGGTGTCACCGGGGTCAAATCACTGAATCAATGGGAAGTTGTGTCACTCTCTTAAGTTCTCTTGTGGTTCCACCTCCCCTCCTAAGTGGTCCAACACACATGTTCAGGAAGTGAGTCTTTTTGGATAGGGGTCTCAAAGCAATCTTTGGGACCACCATTTTGCAGAAGGTGAGGGTCGAAAAGCCCAATGCCCGAGCGACCAAAGCAGTGGCGGTGCTGGGAGCACAAGTTCCACGTCGTCAACCGTATGAGTAGCATCCGAATCGAATGTCCCAGACGAGTGAACGATCAACACTGGAATATTTGTTTCCTCAGCAAGGTCGACGCGAGTGCCTGGGGCAAAACCACAGGGGACTGGATCATGTGTGTGTTGACCTTATTCCACATCCGGCGGTTGGGGTCTGGCGCGCTTGTGCAGGGGTCATACTGTCGATGGACGAATTCCTGCACCACCTAAGGAACCCTGGAATGAGGATTCCCCGTCCCCGGATGCCGCAGTCCCTATACCCTGGGACCCAACAGGGAAAGGCCCACATGTCGGTTCTTGGACCAAGGTCACTGCTTCTAGTGAGCTCAGTGGAGAGTGGGATTAAGTTGTTTGCTACAGGATCCCCTTGTCCAGTTAGTGAATATATAGGTGCTTTCACAAGTGGAAGAATGAATTTGTTTCCACCATTTTATGCAGCGGTTGCTTTTTTGCCCCTTTGCTTTCCATTTGTCCTAAGGCAAACTATTTGCATGTTTCCGGTTGGGGTCCGTTTCTGGTCGGTTGGTTGGTCGGTTGCTTTCTTGCTTGGTTGGCTGGTTGGTTGGTGGGTGGTTCATTTGGGCTGCTTCGTTCGTTGGTTGACGTTTCCTTTCCCGTGTGTTTGTCCATGGTTTAAGCTTTCTTCCCCTTTAAAAGGAATCAAGCAACATCTTGGTTTGACCTAGACCCCCAGAAATCCGAATGTCCACCGGGTGGGTACACCTCAGACTAACATAATTAGAAGCTCCCCCCAATCGGCCTCAGTAAAATCTTCCATTTCGGGGTCCGTTCGGGAGCCATGGAATCGTTTGTGGCAGACTCCGAATCGCCAGACTCCGATTTCGCAACTCGAGGACTGGTTCATGGGCTTCTCCTGGGCTGGCGGGATCAAGTTCGAGCCCTTGGGCAGGCTGAAGTGGGAGGGGAAGCCATTGACCCCAAAACATGACATCCGGGGAATCCAATGGCAGGGGTTTGTGTATTTGGGTGTGTCGTTTATTGGGGGGGCACCCCCGTTTGGTTTTCAAACAAACCACACAGAAACCATTTTGGAGTCCCCTCATTTTGAGAGCCCAATTTAGGTGTCTTGAACAAGGGTACCGAGCGTAGGCACACCCAGATGTTGGGCCACGATGTTCAACCCCGCTTCGGCCCACTTCAGCCCACTTGCGATGAAGAGATGGCTGGGTGATGAAGACCCCAACGGTTGGTTTCCATATGGCTCCTTTCTCACTCCATGAGTTAGTGAGCTTCAAACCTTTTCGGGGAAAGGTCCTTCTAGAGGCAAACAACGAGTTTGGACCGTGTTTTTTCCAATCAACGCAGGATTTGAGCAGTCTTATAGGCATGGTTACTGGGGAGAGATGCGGTTTCCATTGGGATGCCGGATGTTCAGTTCAGCCGAAGCGTTGGGATTCACCCGTATTGTTTCAACTCCTTTTTTGGTGGCTCCCAGCCATCCCCTTTGCTGTGTAGCTTTTTAGGGTTTAGTGAGGGTCTCTGCTGAACCCACCAAAAGTTACATTTTTAGCAGGGGATCTGGTTTCCTATTCACCCGATTCTTTGTCTGTGTATCTGCCTGTGTGCCTTTGTTTTCCAGCTGCCTTTCCGGGAAGGCGTCAGAAATAAAACAAGGCCCCCCCCCCCACCGCCCGAAACGAACAGGTACCCGTTGCTTGGTTCAATCAATTGTGAATGTTTGAGCCATTAGTCTTGACATACATCATTTGTTGACAAGCCACTCGCCCCTCGGTGTTTTTGTTTTGTCAGAATCTGTCTGCAACTTTGGAGCGTGAAACACAAGCTCCGACCTGCATGCGTGTAGTCGCAGGCGTTGCGCATGAGATGAGCACATGGATGCACAGATGGAAATTTGCAGCATCATATAAAGGGCGGGGAACTGCGCTGAAAGCAAAAGCTGGATGCGTAACCACATCCTAGAATTGTTGAATTCAACCAAAAGACAACCAACCGGGGATGAGCAATTTGTATTTTCAGGGCTCCCATATGCCACAAGGAACTGTACATAGGCGCTGACTCGAATGTTTGGGGGCTTGCCTTGCTTGCGGTGCGCGCAGGAATCAGGAGAGCGTCAGTGAAGCGATCAATAGCTGCTTGGCAACGAGGGAGTGTCCTTTTTCTGGGGCCCTCTTTGGGGTTGGTTCAACTCAAAACCAAGAGGACTCCATTCCATTCGTTGTTTTTATTTGTTTGGGGGAGTCCCTGAAAAGACACTCATGTGTAGGCAAGCAGTTCCCGGCCATTGACATACATTTGCACAGTTTATGACCCCACTGATCAGAGATAAAGCGAGCGAACGCCATGATGTAGATCCTTTACTCGGGGTTCCAATTCTGACTTCACGATTTGATTTTCGTAGACTTTGCAGGACTTGCAGAACTACGGCTTGGTGTGCTGCTGTACTTCTCTACCAACAAAATGGAAGTGCAAGGGATCCTTTCCAAGAGGATGGCGTGTCTTTCAAAAGGGGTCTGTGCACTTGCATATTGTTTGCCACAACATACTTTCCTCATCACATCGAGGCGTCAGCAAACAGTCTCAAAGCTTCACACTTGCAGACCCAAAGACACGCGCTTGATGTTCGAGTTTGCTAGGATTGCTTCTGTCTGACTGCAAGTTGCCATTGTTTCCATGGCATGCAAGTTCCCAAGCGCGGATACCTGACGGAACCCCGAGGACTGGGGAATGAAGCCCTGGATAAACCAAGCCGCTCCGAAATGGATTCTGTCCACTGTGTTCCTAAATTTCAATGCGCACAGTGCCCAGGGCTCCAAAGATCTCACGGGGGAGTTTCAACTTCAATTCCCGGGCGTTGCTTGGCAGTCGCCCGTATGATTTGTCCCCCGGGTGCGTCTCGCTGGCCCAATCTGTGACCATCCAAGACACCCTCCATGAGACCAGCAACACCAGCAACTCTTACGTGGACCCCTAGAAACAGACCCAAGATCAGCGCAGTTTTGCATGTTCCCTGCCATGTTCACTTTTTCGTCCCTTCAGGGGTCCGTGTTTCCTCAATGGTTCAAGCATCGCCCTTTGGGGCCATGTTGAGCGACTTTCAATTTGACAGGGTGATGTAGTCTGTGGTCCATTTGAGAGGGAGATGGGGACCCAAGCTTCCCAAGCAACCTGAAAACTCACGAATTGTCGTACAAAAGCCAGGGGACTCGCTACGTTTCCAGCAAAAGACCAGAACAGCCTGTCCCGGCTTAGGCTACTACGCTATCGGAGTCTACGGCACCGTGTTGGCCAACCGCGGGGACGAGGACGTTTCGATGTGCACCAGCTGACCGGACTGATGGCGGTCTTTTAAATTGTTATTTGTTTGCGAAAATTATCAAAATACTGTTTGAAGTTTGCATCGGTGGCCTTTTTAGGTCAGTTTGGTTAAACATAGATGGGTTCCACTGGTTTAGATTGCAGGGTCACAAGATTTGACATTTTACATAAAGGAATCAAGGCCAAAGAATCAGTGCCCGGATTATGTCTTTCTCGCACTTGTTTAGACCTTATTCCGTCTCAACAACATAGACATCCAGTCTCTTGCCACGAGGCCGCGTTGGCATACTTTCCAGCACTACGTTGCCTAGTTGGAGGGCTTCAGGATTGCAACCCGCGTATTCGTGGCCAAGCACTATGGCTTACTCTCGCAATGACCTTCTTCAAGTCCCGCAATGCCCCCGAAAATGCAGCGCATCTCCTGGAATGTAGACATGGGTAGCTCTGTCTCGACACGCGCGCCAAGCATGCCTCCAACCTGGAGACTGCGTGGCCGCATCCGAACAATAGCGGCTGAGCAAAGCGCTGCAGGATCCAACCACCAAGGGTGCGCACGTTGATCATGGAAGGCATGCTAAACCACACGGCGAGACATAGTCACAGCCAAGCAACATCTGTTTGCTTGTCACGAAAGCAGCCGTAGCATTGTGTTTTTTGTTTGCCCTCCAGGCACACGAGGCGCCAAAAAGAGGTTCGAAGACTTGGCCTCTTCCCCGGCGCAGCTGGCAAGATGGCGGGTTGTCAAGTTAGCTCCACGCCATTTGTCATTCTCGCACTTTGAGCATGGCTTTGCAAAATGATCGGCGTATTGCAGGCTGTCGCCGCAATGGCCAGGTTTGGGCAAGCGGCGGTGGTAGGCTGGCAGCAGTGCCCGCGTTGGCTGCGCGAAGGGCCTCACCATAGGCGCGGATCGGTCTCGCCTGGCAAGGAAGAAACAAGGCAAAAAGCCACCGTACTGTGTCGCCTAGGTGCACATGCAAACTGCTGTCTGTGGGGTGGGAAAAGGCGTATGGATCTGGAGGAAGACCGCGCATTGAACACAACAGGCGGGCGCGTGTGTAAACGTGTGTCAGAAGTGGGGGTTGGGCGAGAGGGGGCGGGCGAGAGCAAGGCCACCAATACTCGCGCGGGCGCTCAGCCAACCCACGAGAAACTGGATCTTCTGCACCAAGTTTGACTTGAATCACTAACCTGTCTGTGCTCCCATACCCATCACAAGTAGAGGAATGCCCTTGTGCAAGTGAACCCGTAACTCAGCAGTGACCGCTGTCTTGTCTTCGACTTCGCTGGCCAAGCTTGCGCAGCCAAAGTCGTGGACTTTCCGTTTGCAAGCAGTGGCCTGCCACTTGTGTCCAGCTTGAGGCTGCTCACAAGGGAGGGTTCGGTCAAGTTGGTGGTGCCGTAGTGCGCAGATCTCTGACAGGCAGGCGGAAAGCCTGGGTTAACCACGTGTGGGGGGGGAGGTTATCACAGCAACCTGCGATTTTTTTGGTCAAACAGGGGTCCCTTCTGGGGGACCCCCACATGATTTCAGGTTGCAAAAGACGCGCAGATCAGCTGTAGGTCCCTTGGCAGGGGACCCTCGATTGTCCGAAAAAAATCAAAGGAGCCGCCAGGTGGCCGCGCCTGCGCTGTGGCTGTTTCTCTTTGCGCCGGTTGTTTCTGAGAACCAGAGGTGCGTTGCCAATCGCAACAAAACGGAGCGTCTTGCATTTTCTGCTGCAACTCCGCGACTCAAGCCACGGGGAGCGAAGGCGCTACACGCCTCCGATGTGGCCGCGCACCGGCGGACCAGGCAAAACTTTTCGTAATCGTGCAACACAGTTTGAATTGACTGGGGTTCACGCCCAAGCTGGTCTGCAAGTGAATGTATCTCCGGCTGCGCTGCCCTTTGCCTCACTTGTGACACACAATCCTACAAGCAAACAAACCACACTCGCTGCGCTTGTACGACGTTAAAGCAAGCAGAGGGTCATGTCTGCAGAATGGGCCGGAAGCTCTAAAGCACTGACACTTGAGAAATGGCCTGCGCCGTTTCCGAAAACAACGAAGGAGAACCACAGGAAAACAGCGTCCAAACCACAACTTCCCTGAAAGCAAAGCAAGCTGCGTCGCAATTGCCACGGGACACCTACGGTCCCCCTATTCTGCCAGGTCCTGCTTGACATCGCTTCACGGGAAACACTTGTTGCGAAGTGACATTTCGTTTGGCAAGGCTTCTTTCAGCTTGTTGGATGCTAAGGTGGAGGCAGGCGCCCGGCGCCCCGGGCGCCCGGCGCCCCGGGCACCCGGCGCCCCGGGCACCCGGCGCCCCAGGCGCCCGCCGCCCCGGGGCGCCCCCCGCCCATGGCGCCCGGCGCCCCAGAGCCGGCAGAACTCAAAAGATTTCTGCTCTGTTCAAATGGCTTTCAAACCCACGCTTGTGTTTGGGGCGCCAGGCAAAGGTCCACGTGACCTGACAAGCGTGCAAATGCAGGCACGACCCCCCGCTTTTGGGAGATTCTCGGGTGTCTCCAAGCGTAGTTCTGCATCTACGTGGAAGCCAAGACACAGCTTTGCGCTGTCAGCCAGAACAAGCCTCAACTCCCGCCGCCTCCTGACTTCGTCCTGGTGACAAACTCCAGAGCGACACAAACAACTCAATGTCTTTGCCTCTCGGCATTCCGGGACTGCCTCGTCGCACAAGCAGCAATTAATGCTGGCCCTTCCTGCAACTGATTGACGCTGAGCGGGTGGAGTTACTGACTTGTTTGAAGACGCAGGTGAGAGCAAATTCGTTTAAATCAGTGCAAGCAAGGCACGTCATGGAAATACGTTCTGCCAGATGAATCTGGGATGCGCGCGGCAAAAAAAAGGGATCTGGCCCGCCCTTGATGGTTGGCCTTGTTTAATGTCAAACCTTGTGACCCTGGATTGGGTTCTGTTCCATGTACCAGTGCCATCTATTTTTCCAAAAGATCACCTATATGACTGTTGCATGTTCTGCTTGAGGGGCCATGCTGGACCCCATTTCTTTGTGGCTCATTTTCGTGACTCCCCTGCTGTGGGCTGCTACGCGGGCAACAAAGGCAAGCCTCATGACAATGTTTATTGTTGGATACTCTTTTGCATAATTGATTTGTTTGTGGTATCCTGGGAAAGACCTTTGCTGATTGGTTTCACAGGGGAGCCGATACGAGACTCACCTTCCGTGGAGGTTTAACCACCGGACACGCCAGTGGGAATAAGAAACTGAACATTCGTCAGTATGTTTCTTAGACGGTTGTCATTAGTTTGGTTCTGTGGTGCCCCCCATTCCCAAGATTCAGCCCTTTAAAGGGATGGCTTTGAAAAGGGAGGCAACAGGAAACCAGTTGACCCCAGGCCTCACGCATCCCTCATAGTTCCGAATGTTTTGACCCGCCAAGTGGAAAAAGTAGAGGCTGTTTGAGGAGCCCAATCGTATCCGTATGGCAGCAGAAAGAAGCCAATCGATCACGGTTTGTCTCCGGCCATTGCCCCAAAGATTCCAAGCCTTCAATGGTGTGGAGGTATGGATGCCTATATATCATGAATATGGCTGGTAAGGCAGAAGCTTGCACCAAGGCACATTCACTTCTGAACCGAGCTAGAACCATCCAGAGCCCATTTGTTAGAACCAATTTAGGGTCGCGCATTAATGAGTTGCTGGTGGCTTTCTTGCATGGTCTGGCTTGCTTCGGCGTTTGTGTGAAAGGAAACAAACAGCTCTTACAACCCAGGCCACCGAATGCTAGGTCAATGGTGAGTGTTGTGTTTGGCGCCACGAAACCGATGGCGGAAAGTTAGGGAAAACCCAAATGGGTCCCAACAGATGCCAGCTTGCATCTCAGTACTGGGTGTAGCATCATAGTGCCCACACATGCCAGCTTGCGTCTCAGTACCGGCGTCTTAGCCCCCATGCAGGGTAAGGGGCAAACTTCCCCTGTGCAGGACTCCGATGTGGGCATGCGATTGCGCCAGCTGGGACGTTTGCTGACCGCGATGGAGGTGCGCCCAAAGTCGGCTGGGTTGCGCCAGATGTAAGCCTCAAGGGTGGGGTGTCCGGACACCAGTTGAGTGACGCAAGGGCCCGTCTCCCTTGGACCGTCTCCCTTATTTGCTCAGGTCTCCAAGAACCTCTAAGAAGCTTACAACAGATTTTTCTGGGTTGTGGGGGGGGGGTGTTAGGTTCTGCCCCTGGGTGCAACAAAGCGACAGGGACTGATCAAAGCCCGATTTGCGAAATGAGTTAAGCAACTATCAGCGGATAAATCATCACCTGACAAGTTTCAGTGGCCCAAAGCCTTAAGCTGTGTTTAACTACTACGCCGCCGCGAGCCCCATGTTTCCAGCGTCAAAAAAAGCCTATTGCCAAGGAACTTTCGCACAAGGAGTGTCAAGGATATTGTCTGGTGACGGGTACAACATGTGCTCAAGACACCCTTGGACTCGGAAAAATGACTGTCAGAGCTTAAATCACGGGGCCTGGTGTGGAGAGGGGAGGGAGAGGGAGCCAAAGGCCTTATCAAGTAGGAGCTGATTTGGGCTTCCCACCCGTTAGGCCCCAGGATTCCTTCCATTTGCTTAAGACTTGTTTTTTTTCCCTTGTTGGTTTTAAAGGGAATCCATCACTACTGGAGACTATTTTATTTGTTCCGCAAAACTTAAGCAAAAGGAAGATGATAGGAATCTAGACAACCTGGATGCGGATTCCTACTTTTGTGGGAGCCATGACAATGGCTATGAATCCATTTTGGCGAGTGGGTATGTATAATGGCGGGTCAATGGCGCCCCCAGTTTCCCTAGTGGTTGCGGGTACTAATTTGGTTCTGTCTCAAATTATGCGGAACCCCCCAAAATGGCTTGTTTTTCTTTCCGTGTTCCGTTTATGTACCCCAAGGCTACCCTCAAAAACAGAGGCACCCATTTGAACTGTTCAATTACTTGCTGGTTCCCAGCAGGGAATGAGAGAACGACCCCTATAAACCATCCCCTATGGTTTCCTTTAAGGGAATCCCCTTCCGGTTCATTCCCAAGACCCGGAAGGTCAATCCCTACCTATCGCACCAGGACATTTTAGAAAGTCAGCTTGAGTTGCCGGCCATTCGCGAGGTGCATGCCGGGGACACGTACTGGCATCTCGGAGATTTCGGTCGGGAAGCGTCTCAGGTGCGTCTCAGGTTCGTGACTCTTGGGGTGCCAAGGGAAACCCAAAGAAAACCGGCCCCGAAGTGTTCGGGGTCCAAGCCCGGTGAGAGGGCAAAATGTTGATTTGCCCTTAACAAAAACAAAAGGGGGTGAATACTCTCCCACTCAACTAACATCCACCTGAAAGTTTGTTTCCCTTCTCAAGCTGGTGGGTTTCATGTTGGTTGATGTTTTTTTTTTGGTTTTCAGGCCCCGTGTCTATCACCCCGCCAATTTGGACGCTCGAAGGGAGAGAAATGGCAAGCGGAATCGAAGCCCCAAACCTCCAGCGGTGCTCTTCGTTCCTTGTTTGAGACGGGGTTCGACGGGGGTTGAGGAGAGAAATCCAGCACTGGTTTGGCCTTAAATTCACATTAAGAGTTCTAGGGTTTAGGGTTTAAGGTTCGCCTTTCAAGTCGACTGAGCAACTACCAAGAAAAGGGTGCCCCTTTTTTCCACTGGATGGGGAGTGTGTCCTGAAGTGGCGGAGCTGAGCAGCTGGCCTGTTTTTCTCTTGGTTTACTTCTTAGCACCATGCCAGAGGAGGTCCCTGAGCTATAAACCAGTCCATGTTGTTCAATCCCGGCTGAAATCCCAGCTTCACCAAGAGCGGCTTTTTGTGTACTCCATATCAAGGTCAAGCCATCCGTCCATTACCGGGACGGGCACTCTATTCAGATGTTTGACGGCCGTCTTTTTTGCACGTGCTCCCGGTACCGAAGTGCTTGGCTCAGTATCTTGGGTCCATTATGTCGAGTTGCCCCAGATACAAATGTGTTTTAGCATGTCACATATGATGACAAGATCCTGCAGGCGCGACTGCATGGAGGGACGCTTTGCAAAGTGATTTGGCTTACAGTCAGGCAAAAGTACGGAATGATGTGTCTCTTGTTTGGGAACACTCTTTGCTATGGTTATTTTCGCATTTTTTTTAGAAACACAAAGCCAGTGCCACTAGCATGTTCTGGGATTTGTGTTCTGCTGTGTGGTTTGATAGGAGCATTTGTTGGACTCAGCGGCTCTGTGTTTCAATCATTGTACACCGCCACTCTGGAGGTACCTGCAAGTGAAATGTGCACATTGCTTGTTGGGAAACTCATAGCTCATGTGCAATGTGCCATCATCCACAGCTGCTAGTGACCAGGCGAAGAGCACCTCAGCGTAAGAGCCAGTATATATGTGTCAAGTTCTCCCTTTGAGTTTTCCCAGAAAAGAAACAATCCCAAAACGGGGTCGATACGTCAAGAGAGAACCCCAAATCAAGAAGACATGGAGTACAGATCAATGGGTAGAGGTATGTCCTTGATCAGCTCCTTTACCTGTTAGAGACCCTGTTCAGTGGCTTTGCTGAAAAATGGTTGCGAGTCATCCATTTCAGATTCACCACCATTCAGAAATCCTGGTGTAGATACCTACAAAAGACGGTTTCAACCATGGTTGCTGAGGTGGTGCGATTTCTGGATTGGCTCCAACCTCCGGGATTTTCTGGGGAAACCAAGAAGCACCGCCATGAGCTCAGTCAAAGCTGGGCGCCGAGGCACGTGCGCCCTGCGGGCGGCATCTACACGAATTATGTGCACCCAACGGCACGGGGCTTGGCCCATTGGCCCCTTCTCGGGCCGTGCTTTGACGAGCGCCAGTCTTTGGGTTACTTTCATTTTTTTTTGTTTTAATAGTTTGAAAGGGAATCTATCACTGCTGTTTTTGTTGTTTTTTCCAGGGGTCTTAAGCAAATGGTGGGTTCCTTATTCCACGTTATATCAGAACCAGGTGGGCATCATGTGGGAGCACGTGGCGCTCCACCAGACCTGGTTCGGCGGGTCAGGCCGAACGGCGACGGGCTCTCCCGGTTTGAGGTTGGGAACCCGTTTTGAGCTTGGGTGCGTTTTTGGAGGTTGGTTCATTGCGCAATCAACAGAACCAGCATGTGTTGGTCCAATTCCCTTATCTGACACATACTTAGGTGGCGTTGGAGTCGGGAGTGTTCCAAACGGAAAGCTGGACGTTTTGTCGCCAAATGGCTGCGCATGCTCATGGCGAACACTTTCAAAACGGTGGGTGGATGCAAGCTCCCTTGTGACGTCCACCAACATGTCCCCAATTGAAATTCATCTGCGTATGAGGCTGTCTCCAGGTGGGAACACAACCTCTCAAATCCCTTTTTGTTTCTTCTTAAAGCAGCCCCCAAAGATGTGAAGCCCCAAAAAAATAGAGGCCCCCGCCCATCTAGGCCATCCCCTGACTACCCCTTCACTTTCACGTTGATACAAGGAAAGTTGCTTTCCTCCCTGCATGTGAAGAACTCGTCGTCAAGGCCGATGCCCTAGTATCACAGTGGCCCATGTTCATCCTGAGTGGTCCGACTAAATGTCCGAATGGTCCTGAAAATAGCTGGTCTTTAGTCAGAGTAACTGCTTTATATAGATGTCATAGACTGAACCCTCCTTGCTGCCTGTTGGTTGCCATGGCAAGTGAACGGCGCCTACCTTTCGAGCTTACAAAGGCGAGAAACATGTTTCATGCCCCCGATTGGTCAGTGGCACACTTCTTCTTGATTTGTTTTGTGGGTTCCCCGCTCCAGATGGACCCCAAGCAGGGCTCCCTTGTTCTAGGGTTGTAATGTTATCTGTGAGCCTCCTGTTGCATACTCTGTGGCTTTCGGCCAAGGTATCCTTCACAAGTGATTTTGTGGATTGCACCCAAAGCCTGGAATATACGTTGGGTTTAATGGTTTTGCAGAGGTGCTCTGAAATGATTTAGGTTTCTTCCCGAAATGCCATTCACCAAGACTAATTCAGATCTTTGGGCACTGGGCACTTTCGCGGTTTTTTTTGAGAAGAAGAGACAGACCGGGGCATTGCCAAAAAGGTAGCACAGTAGACAGCCAACCTCCAGCGGATTTTTGCATTTTTGAACGCAAGCTCAGGAAGCTACCCCTGCAAGTGCTACGTGGGAGAAGCCATGCCGTGGTGGACAAAATCCATTTCGCATCACTTTGAAACCATGGGACACCGGCTTTTACAGGGGAATCATCATCTTAGGTGGTGCGAAATGGATTTCGTCCGCCCCCAGCATGTTGCATGCGCTGCTTGAAGCAATTTGTCAAACGACTGACTGTTTTCGCAGCCGCTCTGCAGCCTAGCTGTTTGGTTGCGAATTTCTTGCATTTGGGGACCTGTTAAACGGGTTCCGACAAACGGGTTCAAACGGGTTCCGATCGCTCAGGACAATCATGAGTGTAGCATCAGAAAAGGAACCCGTTTGTTAAGAACCCGTTCAACGGGTCATATGCCGTCGTATGTCGTGCGCCCACTGGGCCTACGTCCTGGCGCTGGCAATTTCGGCGCTGGCAGAGCGCATCCATGTGGCGCCGGGCTCGGCCAAGGTTTTTCCATTGGTTTGATGTGTCAAAATGGGGATTGGGAGCCCCAATTGATGACTCTCCACTTGGTTTCCCTATTTCACCTGGTTAACAGGGTATTGTGCCTCAAACAAAAGAAGACATCATGTGAAGGTCGGATGAAGCTCTCCCCCCAAAGAATGCCAAACCTCTGACACGGATTCCGCGGGAGAAGGTGGTTTGAGGGAGAAAGTAGTTTCAGGCCGCGCGGGATTCAGGACGCAGCCTCGCGCGCAAAAATGGTTCTGCCGTCGTACTATCTGGGGGTCCCGGAGGCCCGCGGAGCGTAGAATTCTTGAGCATTGGATCCCTAAAACGCTCCTCGGTAATCGGTGGGATGTATTAGTGCTAGGTTAGCATTATCCATGTCATGTCCCAGGATAGGGGGACCCCCCTTTTGGGGCCCGCCCTTTGGGCATGAATAAAACCCTGCACTGGGATGTCCCGGTCTTTTTCTCCGACAATGCGATCGGATCTCTTTTGAAGTCCTGAACGCTCCCCCTTTCAATCCGAAGAAAGTCCGAGGAAATCCACCGGAGTGAACATTTGGATGTTTAGGACCCATGTCAGCTGGAGAAATCCGCAGAGTTCGCACCAGTTAAGATATATAGGTGAACCCGTGAAACATGATAAATACTCAGCCACAGGACCTATCAACTGGTGCCCCATTCTTGCGGATGTCCAGCGATTTGCGGCCTGCGGCCTGCCGAATTGGATTGAATGATTTGAGGGTTCCCTTCACCGTCCGAGCGAGTCTTTGTCTTCCGAAGCACGTGATCTCACAGCTTGGCATGGCAAGTTCTGGCTACTGCGGTGGATTTTCGCATTGGAAGAAGGGCAAAGGGCCCAGTCCCAGTAAGTCAAGCATCGCCTTGCGGAAATGTGTTGGTACGTGTCCTTTGGATGAGTGATGTTTGTAGGCCGGAGTGCGGTTTAAGAAGAGATACTTATCTAGAAGCTCGAAAGCCGATACGAAGCGTGGCTCACAGGAACATGGTCAGAATTCCGTCGGAATTCCCTTGGAACCCACCATTTCGTCGCGAATTGGGAAGAGTGGTCCCACCTCCGTGTGCAAGCTTTCGCAGAGAACCCAGGGTTGCTCCGAACCTCAAAATGAGCAAACTACTGTGGGCGGACAAAGTCCTGCACCACCTAAGACACCTGGAATGATGATTCCCTTGTAAATACCAACGCAGTTTTTTCCCGTGGTTTCAAAGTGGTGCAGGATTTCGTCCATCCACAGTACCTTTGGGTAGACAATTGGCAGCAGAGGACTTTTGGTTCCCTTGTCCAGCGACCAAGTGGCTTCCTTACAATCGGGTCGGTCGTTTGTTTGTTGGGTTCCCTCCAAGTTTCAATCTTGTGCTTCGATCCTCGGATCCCAGGCATCCGGTTCCCTAGCTTTTAGCATTTTACTGTTTAGTGGTTGGGTGTGGCTTTAACCCACACAAGGTTAGTCACTTTGAGCCGGGGATCTGAACACGGTCAGCCCAGGATTTGTCCCTCCAAATGTTTAATATTGCTTCCATTTGCTTAATCTGTGTTTTTGTGTCATGATATACTTTTTGCTATTTCCCCTTTGTGGTTGCAAAGGGCATCTATCACTACTGGACGTATTTTCACCATTTTTCCCAGGAGGCGAAGAAGCGCAGTTGGCTGTGGGTCAAAACCAATAGGATCCCATTTCAGGGTAGGTGAATTCACCACCCATGTTAGGCTTCCTATTTTAGTGGTTGGATTGAATCGGTCCCCTTCACGGGTACGGAATTTTTCGGTTTTTGACCGGCATTTGAAGCTCGCGAGGTGCCTGAGGAGTTTCAGGAGCTCACGTCCTGTGAGGCCGTCGGGGAATACCAAGTGTCCAAGGAGCGGCTTGGGTTCAAAGGCGGCCTGGCAGAAAGGGCCATGGCTCAAAATCCAAATCGGTTAGCCCTTTGAGGGGACCGATTCAATCCAACCACTAAAATAGGAAGCCTAAAATGGGTGGTGAATTGACCCAATCCAATCAAAATGGGATCCCAAAACAGTTTTGACAACCACAGCCATATTTGTTGAACTGTTTTTGCCGGTTCGCCAAAAGTCGGGGCCATCCGCTTCTCAGCTTGCTGGTGCGAGAGATAGACAATCGAAGTGGCGGTTTCCTGAAAAAGGGAATTACCCAGGTTCATTCGTAACCGGAAGGTCATTCCCTACCTATCGCACCAGCAAGTGAAACAGTACCTTCCAAGGGTGGTCCATTTACACCTGAACTGCCTTTTGGTACCATGTTGGATACCAATTGACTAGCCCCAAGGTCTTATATGGGTTTGTCTTTTTTGTTTTGTTGAGTTGCTTCAAAAGGCAGAAGATGGGACCTTGGCGAATGGTTGTGCCCAAGGGGCTCAAATTCAGTCTTTGTCTTTCCTTGAGAATACAGACCAGACCACCACCAAAAAAATGCTTTGGCCATTGATATTTTTTTTTTGGGCGGGTTGAGCCTAAACCAGGGCACCCCCAAAACCTGTTTTGGGCATTGGACAATTACATCTAGGCGGGTTGAGTCTTTCCTTGAGAACGCAGACCAGGGCACCCCCAAAACCTGTTTTGGGGCATCGCAAAGTAACATTTGGGCGGCTGGCCAGGAGGCCGAAACATGTTCAAAAGAGTCTGTAATATAGAATACAGACTAGGACACCACCAAAACCTTAGGGCGTCTGGTTCGCAGGTCGCTGGTTCCCTAAGTAAGCTTTTGACGCATGGTTTGCGCTGTCGGACATTGCAGTTTTAGTGGTGTTGTGTACCCCACGGTGGGCGCGAAAGAAAGCGCAGTTTCGCGAAAGGGCGCCGGAAGCAAAAAACAAGAGGAGCCCGGGAACCCAAAAGCAAACCAGCCTAACTCCCCACGGCATGTGGATCCCGTTGTTTTCCGGCTCAAGGGTCCGAAGGCAAACCAAGATTTAAGTTGTTCACAGTTGGGAAATCAACCCCAAAACAGGGAGCAACCGCGACTCAAGCCGGATTGGCAGCCAGCAGCCTGTGCTCTGACCAAGCACAGAGAAAAAGGCAAAGGCACGGGTGAAACATGACAGGCCCCGCACTACATGGAAGGCACGAAGTCATCCGATTCATCATGAAGAACCAATCGCAGAAATCCGAAAATGGATCCGCACAAACTACCACTCCCAAATTGGAAGCAAGGCATAAGCTCGCTCTACACCCATCTGAAACAAGTCTGAGACACAGTGTTACAACACGATCTGAGTAGACCGGGGTCAGCTGTTCGGATGTTCACGCGCCCTTATGTTGGGGCCGAGTGTGCTCAGCATATTCATGTCAACGTGCTTCCAGGCTGCTTCCAAATAAGTAGGGCGAGTCCCAAGAGGCCACAGACTCTGAAGAGAGGGTTCGTCCTAGAAACACATTGGCGCCATTTGTTCGCTTCAGGTGTGCGGCAAAAAGGACAATTTTGGCGTGCCTGGAACGCCGGGCTGTTCACATGGAGCCGTGCACGTGGCCTTCACAAACTTGCTTTGTAAGCTTGCTTGGATTCGTTAGTTTCTCCACCTATTTTCCCATTCGCAACCAATGGCAACTGGTGACTTTGTGGAAAGGGCCGCGCACGTTGTCAATTGGATGCGTGTGGATGGCAAGTTGGGTGGATTCGCCGCAGGTGTGTGGAGACGGGGCCGGCGCTGCGCTTTTGCGGGGGGCTCGGTGTGGACAAGCCTCGATCACTTGGTGGACACAGTGTTACCACGATCTGCGTAGACCGGGGTCAGCTGTTCGGATGTTCATGCGCCCTTTTGTTTGGGCCGAGTGTGCTCAGCATATTCATGTCAACGTGCTTCCAGGCTGCTTCCAAATAAGTAGGGCGAACCCCGAGGCCACAGCTTCTGAAGAGAGGGTTCGTCCTAGAAACACATTGGCACCATTTGTTCGGGTCAGGTGTGCGGCAAAAAGGACAATTTTGGCGCACCGGGAACGCCGGGCTGTTCACATGCAGCCGTGCACGTGGCCTTCACAAACTTGCTTCGTATGCTTGCTTGGATTCGTTAGTTTCTCCACCTATTTTCCCATTCGCAACCAATTGCAACTGGTGACTTTGTGGAATGGGCCGCACACGTTGTCAATTGGATGCGTGTGGATGGCAAGTTGGGTGGATTCGCCGCAAGTGTGTGGAGACGGGGCCGGCGCTGCGCTTTTGCGGGGGGCTCGGTGTGGACAAGCCTCGGTCACTTGGTGGGCGAAACAAGTCTGAGACACAGTGTTACCACGATCTGCGTAGACCGGGGTCAGCTGTTCGGATGTTCATGCGCCCTTTTGTTTGGGCCGAGTGTGCTCAGCATATTCATGTCAACGTGCTTCCAGGCTGCTTCCAAATACAAAGGGGGCCTGTGCTATTGAGGGTTGGTTTTGCGCATATTCGCGGCTCACTTTTCTGGCCCGCAGAAGGCTAGCCGGGGAGCTGGAAAGTGCAAGGGCTCCTACGCACAAGACCATTCCTGGGCACAAGAAGAAATGGACTGCGCAAACTTATCCACCGCCGCCCCTCTTGCAGCTGTCCAACATCACACCTCCACAAAGCAAGGCTCGCTCAGCTCGATCAAGACCATGTTTTCTGCCATCCAGGGCTCCAAGCTATCCCATGTAGCAGCGTGATCAACGGTGAAGACAATTGGAATTCTGTAAAGATAGACATCGTAGCTATACACTCCAGTTTTGCTCTGTCCAAGGGTGTGCACGTCGCCGTTCGATTGAAAAAGGGCACGTTGGGAGAGTATGAAAGACATATTGTTGATGTTGTCGAAGACCAAGAATCCGTGTTTGCGACGATTGAAGCCGCGAAGATCGGCCGATACATCATCTTGCACAGTCTGTATGTAAGGTGGCTTGAGCCAGGCCAGCTCTTGATGCAACGACTTCGCAAGAGTGCTCTTGCCACAGCGGGACCCGGCTCGCAGCACTAGAAATTTATAACGGAGCAAGGGCATAGAATACTGACTGGCCCATTCCCGGACCAACTCCAGCACATGCTGCTTGAAGGGACGTTTCAAGGTTTCCAGAACCGCGTCCGCGGCTGCTTTCTCCCCTTGAAAGGCTTGCTGCTGCTCGCGCAGCTGCACTGCTTCGACTTGCTTCAGCCGGCCGACAAAACCGACGCGAACCTTGCACCTCGCGCTGCGGGCAGCGTGGTCAAGAAATTTCCAGCACTTTGCAAGAAAAAGAGCTGTCTGCACTTCAAACCCTGCAGCTTCTCAACTGAAAGCTTACTCGGCAGCCAGGCGGCGCGTATTCCAGGTAAATATCGTGTGTCAATTTCTGCGAGGACCAGAGAGAGTCCAACCAGGCACCGCGCACTGTGTAGTGCACCCACGGCTCGTGCCCGCTTGTTTGGACTCTCAGTGAGCCAACCTGAGCTGAATGCAGACACAAACAGGCAGCGCTTGCAAGAAGGCCTGGCAACAGTGGCCCGAAAAGAGCAAAAGAGGTGTCTACCTGAGTTATGTTCGCCTCCTCCTACGCAAGGATTTCCCGACAAGTGATGGCAGCCTAGGTGCTTTGGCGGCCCAGCAATAAAAATGGCCTTGGTCTACTGACTCCCGCCACTTGGCGCCACGCGCTCTGCAGGGAGAACAGTTCGGGAGGACCTGACGCCACGCCAAGGGACGCAGCGACGTCCAGTCGGGCGCCTTGTGAAATTCAATGTAGACATGCAAATGCCAGCGGTCCATGTTTTGAGCATGCTCGGACCGTTCCAAAGTTGCGGTCCAGCGGGAAATGCTTTCGACTGTCTGGATGAAGTCCACGAAAGGCTCAAAATCTGCATCTGTGAAATGGGAAGCATTATAAGTCAACAGCGCTGCAGCCGCTCGCAAACGGAACGGCGCCTGCAAAGCAAGTCCTAAATCGGGAAATACAACAGCCGAGGTTGACACTAACTTGACTTATGTCTATAACGGGCACAAAAGGGCACGGAAATCGCTCGCGCACAAGCCAAGCCTTGGCGGTCGCAGGCACTGGCGCTGCAGCTGGTGAACTGGCCGCTTGGCTCGCCTCTGCTGGCACTTGACGAACAGGCAGGGGCGCTTGACCTGGTGTGGCATAGTAGAAATCACTAAACGTGCTGGCTTTTGTCGGAATTAGCCCTCAAGGGCTAAAAAATGCCCCCAAGGAGAAATCACACTTGCGAGCCCGGGAACCACCATACAGCTGGACAGCAGCGTCTAGCCTTTGCGACTGCGCTGGGGACAGGTCCTTGCTCCGAAGCTGGTCTGTCAACGCAGTGAACTCGTCCGATCGAAACTCGTATCCCTGCACACGTGGAGCCTCTACGGCCACCTCATCAAGCAAGCCTCGAAGCTGTCCAGATGCTTGCCGCTTCCGCTTTGTCGTCTCTCGAGCCATGGCAATGCATGATGGCAACCAAAGGTGCAAAAAAAAACGAATCAGTCTTTGACGATGGCAACAAAGGGTGCAAACAAAGGTCGAATCAGTCTTTGGGAAAGTTGACAGAACATGCTGCCTGGAACTGAGCAAATATCCTTTGTCAGTCACAACCCCTGCACTCTCCAAAAAAAAGAAGCGCAGTGAGCCACGCAACAACGCAGCTCCACACCATCTACGAGCATGCCGGGAGTACAATGCTAAAAAAATTGAGTCAGGTCCCTCCGGGTCGCTTGTGACACTTCCCCCGCCTGTTGCTCCGACCTCCCCTCCCGTTCCTAATAACATTGTAAAGCCCAAACGGGGTCCAGCGTCCACATGGTAAAACATGAGGTAAAGTGACCACGCGGGCGTCCACAAATGTACAAATCCCCAGGGAAAGTTGCGCCCACACGGCGTCCACATGTAAAAAAACAGGGATTTGGAAGCTTGTTTTTACGGATCCGGGTCGCTACTGCAGAAAAAGCCCAAACGGGGTCCAACGTCCACATATGTAAACCATGAGGTGATGTGCCCACGTGGGCGTGCACAGATGTACAAATCCCCAGGGAAAGTTGCGCCCACACGGCGTCCACATGTGAAAAAACAGGGATTTGGAAGCTTGCCATAAGGGAAAAAAGCCAAACGGGGTCCAACGTCCACATATGTAAACCATGAGGTACCGTGCCCACGTGGGCGTCCATAAATGTACAAAACCCCAGGGAAAGTTGCGCCCAAACGGCGTCCACGTGCAAAAAACAGGGGTTTGAAAGCTTGCAATCAGGGTCGTTACTGCAGAAATAGCCCAAACGGGGCCCAACGTCCACATATGTAAACCATGAGGTAATGTGCCCACGTGGGCGTCCATAAATGTACAAAACCCACAGGGAAAGTTGCGCCAAAGGGCGTCCACATGTGAAAAAATGGGATTTGGAAGCTGGAACCTAGGGAAAGCAGCCTGCACAGGGCGAGCCAAACCTTCGGAAAGGGACCCATGGATTGTCAACATGTCAACATTCAGGGAAGTTGCAGCTTCCTCCCACGAGTCAGGGCGTCCAGATGTGAAAAGTCAGGGATGGTGCAGGTTAGGGTCATGACTCAAATGTTGAGGGTTCCTGAAGGGCTAAAACGGATTGCGGGTCTGCTACCTGATGTCACTTGCTCTTGGGTGGGCGTTTCTGCAAACATGGAACTTCATCACACTTGCCGACACTGCAAACAATCGAAGCTCCAATGGCGTCCAGCAAACGGCGGCCGTGCGTCAAAAATACCGATGTGAATCACAAACTGCTTATCCCTCATTGGCTCCCTGCTAAGAATAAAGGCTTGCTGTCGCTGAAACTGCGCGCAATCGACGCCCAAACGGCGTTCACAAACTACAAAATCAGCAAACATCTTCATCCCTGACTAGCGTCCTTCTTTGGAACAAGGCCTACAGTTCCCGTCACTGCAGGCAATCGACGCCCAATTGCGACCGCACAAAGCAAACCATGTATCAAAACATTCAGGCCCTGCCAGGAGCCAGACTCGGAAAGCCCATCCCCCCCAATGCGACATGGTCCTCAAACAAATCCTGAGGCTGCAGCCGCGTGAGCAGCGGACAAAACTACCGCGAGGAATCGTTCGGGGGGACTGACAAAAGAACCTGGCGAATTCGTAAACCCAAAAAAAGGATCCGACGGTAGTTTTATCCGCTGCTCACATGGACCGCGTAATAACGCTGCGACAAAAACAACACACAACGCAATCGCAGCAATGGCGACATGCATGTCGTGTCTTCCCACATCCATCAGTTGTGGTGGATCGGTAAGCACAGCAGGCTCAGCTTTTCCGCGCCAAGTCCATCCGCTGCAGCAGTCTGACACGAAGGCCTCTAGGCGCACACAGCCAAGCAAGGTTACAAGTGAGCATGGGTGAAAGCACTGACATTCAGCGAGCCCGTGCCCTGCGTCCGCCCTGCGGCGCACACAGCCAAGCAAAGTCGCACAAACGTGATTCTGAGTGAAAGCTCTCGCGTGAGCGAGCTCTGCGTCCGCCTTGTGGCGAAACAAGATGCTTCAAACAGCGCCCCCTTGCTGGTGCACCTTGCGGGTCATCAGCCAAGTGAGGTCGCTCACTGATAACTTTCCGGCTTTTTGCATCAGGCGCCGTCGCTTTTTTTCCTGGCAGCCGGTTTGCTTTAATCAAGGTAGCAAAAGAAGATCCCGGGCAAGACTTGCTGCAAAAAATCTGAAACATTCCTGCTTCCAAACAAACACTTCGAGTTTGACCAGCCGGGCCCCCAAACCTCGAAAAACCGTGGTGCCTGTGTGCGGATCTCCTTCGTCGCCTGCTTCAACTGCTGCTTCAACGTTTTCCGCTCCGCCTTCAATCCTTCAAGCGCATCTTCCGGACCGTCCTCACGACGTGCTGCGGGATCTGGCGCTGCTGCATCAGCCATGGCGCACAACCGTTACAGATCGCAAGGCTTTGTGCAGCGCACACCTCTGAGCCAAGCCTGCCCTGTGGGCCGAAGCGCGTCTCAAGAAGGTAGCTTCCCAAGATTGACTGCAACAGCACGGCACCTGGACCGAGCCTGGTTTCAAGGTCAGGAACCCAAGCCAAAAGGACCTCCAAAGGCGTGTACCCCCACAGTGACTCTCAAGCCGGTTCACAAGAGCTGCACTCGCGCCCCGCGTCAGCTTTTGCTGCTGTCAGAAAAGAGCCTTGCAAGCGTACGCCATGCGGCGGCGCTTCGGCCAAATGCAAGCAAGATCGGCCGGCGTCGGCTTACTGCCGGCTGGCAAACTCGTGGGGTTTCCCATGAGTTGCTTTAAGTCTTTGTGCAAACGTGACAAGTCTGTTGGCCCTCCAGCGCCCACAGCCTCGAAAGACGGCTTCCACTTCTTAGCTGCGAAGAACTGCCGAGGCGCCTGCGTTAAATGCCAAATCCAAGCTAGCGGGCTTATCAGCCCCTCTGCGGATGCAGCGCGAAGCTCTCGATGAACCTTTTTCAAATACCATCTTGAAACCTGCGAAGGCTCGAATGTCCAGCGGTTGGGCAATGTGAGTGCACGAGGATGGAATGAACAGCAGCTGGATCCCGCAGTCTGATGCTGCCTGCATCACAGGCAGTGGAAGGTGGGCCGGAGCACAATCCAAGAGCAGCACTGGCTGCACATTGCCTGCGTCAAGCACAGGCTGCAGCGTTTTAGAGACGTCCTTGATAATGGCAACCATGACTTCTGAAGTGTTCCAAGCTGATTTCCGGCGAAGGATGCGAAGCTGCGTCGCCGGCAGTGCAGCAATGCCCTTCATGATTGTCTTGGTCAGCCTCACGGTGCTTCCAATCAAGTAGTGTGGCAGCTTGCTTGCAGCTCGGCTGAGTCACAAATCAATGCCACGTAGGACATCGCGCCGCGCAAGTTCTCCTTCTTCACTTTCGCACGCAGCCGCAGGCCGCGCTGCACGCACGCTGCTGCAACACAGCCAGCAAGCGGAGTCATGTTGAACCCTACCGAGGTTTCGTCCAGATTAAGGAACACAATCTGCTTGTGGCTGTACTTGGCCGAAACGTGGGCTAGTGTGTGCCAGAAAGCACGGACCTGCAGCAGAAATCAAGGCTGGATTCTCCCAGAACAAACCCAAGCGCACCTCCCGGAAAGAAGGCCCTAAAACCTGACCGCTTTTGGGGTCAGCTTCGTAACAAAGGCCATTAGCTGGGCAGGTTTCCGGGGCCATTTTTCGTGCCCAAAAAAGGGCCCTTGCTTTTCGCGCCTTGGTTCGCAGCTCTTCCGGCTCGATGTAGCCTTCTGGCTGTAAAGTCTTTCGGCGCACGCCCCAGCGCAGGCGCCACCTGGCAGCCCATTTGTTCACAGTTCTCTTGGAAGGCGCTCCCAGATCTGGCTGATGACCAAGCAAGGCTCCCTCGCACTGCAGGAAGACATCCACGGAAGACGGTGTCACACCGTGACCGACATTCATTGTCTCCACCCACTGCATTGTAGAGTTTTCTGCTAGAAACGCTTGTGCTTGCTGCGTGGCTGTGACCCATGCTGGAGTCTCAGGAGCATGAGCTTGGCAAATTTCGCTCATTGGGGCCGCCAAAAAAAGGCTCTCGACTGTGGCAGCACTTGGATATCCCGGCGTCTGAGCATGTTTGAAGGAGGAGAGGCGTTGTGCCATGACTGTGGCCAACTCTATGTTGTGTCCCGACAACAGGTACACGGCAAGGGTGGCTTTCTGCCCAGCAGGTCCAAGGCCACCACGTCCAGCACGCTCGTGCCTTCTGCTTTGTTGCCGGTAATGTGCCTTCGCAGCGTTTCTGTTC